CGGCAAGCCCTGCGTCGCCCCGAGCAGACGACGCCGCCGCGCGGCGAACCCCCCGGCGAGCCCACTGCGCCCCAGGCGGCGTCTGCCCCCGGGTGGCCGAGGCGCCATCCCCCCCAGACGTGAGAGCACGCGTTGGAACGAGCGGCGCGGCGACGCGTTGGTGCTTCTGCTATGGGAGGCACCAACTATACACCAACACCGATCCTGGCCAGGATCACCCTGGGCCCAGGATCGGTGTATACGCCCTGATGACTTGCGCAAGAAGGCACATACACCGATTCTGGGCCCAGGGTGATCCTGGGCCAGGATCGGTGTTGGTGTATAGGGAGGGAGGTTTTGTTTTTCCCCCCCCGCGTCTGCTCTACATGACCTTCCGCAGCCTTCGGATCACGGAGCGAGCACCTGGATCATGTGCTTCCAGCGCGCGGGGGAAATCGCTGCCTCGGAACGCCTGCGCTACGTCCGCACCGCTCGCAGGTAAGACTTATGCTGTGGGAGGGAGGGTGCGTGGGAATGGGCGGGGCCCGCTGACTGGTTCGACCTGCCTGGCTTTCGCTCCCTCCGCCTCTGCCTCACCTCCGCTCCCAATCCCCTGTCGCTTGCCCGTCTCCCCCCTCTGTCCCTCCTACCCCCCCTCCATTTCCAATCTCAGTCTCCCTCCCTGGCCCTGCTCCAAGGGGAGGAGGAGGAGGAGGAGGATGAGGAGGAGCAGGGAGGAGGGAGGAGGGAGGAATAGGAGGGAGGAGGGAGGAGGGAGGAGGGATGAGGGAGGAGGGAGGGACGAGGAGGAGGAGGAGGGGGAGGACGAAGACGAGGACGACAAGCGTGAGGAAGCGGAGAAAGGAAGGAGGAGGACAACGATGATGAGGTGGAGAAGGAGGATGAAGAAAGGAGGAGGAGGAGGACGAGGAGGAGGCAGGGTAAAAAGGACGCGTTGGGAGGCGAAGGGCGCGGAAGAGGAGGAGGAGGGAGACGGGAACGTGTGCTGTCAGCCGCGAGAGCGGTCGCTGATGCGTTCAAGTAACCAGCGAGTCACGCCGAGAAATGCGCACACTTAAGAGAGCTGGAAAACAGGATGGCGGCCGCCTAGGTGGGATGAGGAAACAGGAGCGACGAAGGATGATGATGATGCTGATGATGATGGTGATGCTGATGCTGCTGATGATGATGATGCAGATGATGCTGATGATGCTGGTGAGGGGAAGGAGGATGAGGAGGAGGACCAGTGTAGACCCAATAGTCATCAACGATGTTGGAATTAAACCGCCCTCCAAGCTCCCCCTTCATAGACCCCTGCAGCGGTTCATTTCCATTGAGGGAACTGCCTCGTTGGATGCTGTTGCTGATGATGACGATGATGATGCTGATGATGGTGATGATGCTGGTGAGGAGAAGGAGGGGGTGGAGGAGGAGGACGAGGAGGAGAAGGAGGAGGAGGGGGGAGGAGGACTAGCACCAATAAGCACAACCAACCTATCAGTACTGCAATCGTAATACCACTAAAATCAACAATACGATTACTGAACATAATAGCAAGGCGGTTACTCATATATCATATTATTCAGACTAAACAGAAGGAGGCTGAGGGTGAGGAGGAGGAGGAGGAGGAGGGCGAAGAGGAGGACGAGGACGAGGCGGACACGACACTGCAGGAACACGCCGCGCAGTGCACGAACGCACACCCTAGGAGAGGGGGAGGGGGGGAGGGAGGAGGAGGAGGAAGGAAGAGGAGGAGCGGGAGGAGGAGGAGGGGAGGAGGAGGAGGAGACGGAGGAGGATGATGAGGAGGACGACGAGGAGGAGGAGACGAGGCGGACAAGACACCGCAGGAAAACGCCGCGCAGTGCACGAACGTACACCCTAGGAGAGGGGGGGTGAAGAGGAGGAGGATGAGGAGGATGAGGAGGGCGATGGGCAGGAGGAAGAGGAGGAAGAGAAGGAGGAGGGGGAGGAGGAGGAGGAGGAGGAGGAGGAGGAGGAGGAGGAGGAGAAGGAGGAGGAGGAGGAGGAGGAAAAGGGGAGGAGGAGACGGATGAGGACGAGGCGGACAAGACACCGCAGGACAACGCCGCGCAGTGCACGAACGAAACACCTCAGGAGAGGGGGCCGGGGGAGCTGAGGAGGAGGAGGAGGAAGAGGATTGGGAGGAGGAGGAGGAAGGAGGATGAGGAGGAGGAGGAGGCGGACAAGAACTGCAGGAACACGCCGCGCAGTGCACGAACGCACACCTATGAGAGGGGGAGGGTGAGGAGGAGGAGGAGGAGGAGGAGGAGGAGGAGGAGGAGGAGGAGGAGGAGGAGGAGGAGGAGGAGGAGGAGGAGGAGGAGGAGGAGGAGGGGAGGAGGAGGAGGAGGAGGAGGGGGGGGGGGGAGGAAGAGGAGGAGGAGGAGGAGGAGGACGAGGAGGAGGAGGAGGAGGAGGAGGAGGAGGAGGAGGATGGGGGGGAGGAAGAGGAAGAGGATGAGGAGGGGGAAGAGGGGGGAGGAGGAGGAGGAGGAAGGAGGAGGGAGGAGGAGGGGGAGGAGAGGAGGATGGGAGGAGGAGGATGGAGGAGGAGGAGAAGGAGGAGGAGGAGGAAGGCGAGGGGGATGAGGAAGAGGAGGGGAGGAGGAGGAGGGGGAGAAGGACAGGGAATAGGCAAATGAGGGAGGAGGAGGAGGATGAGGAAGAGGGGGGGCGAAGAGGGGGAGGAGGGAGGAGGAGGAGAGGAGGAGGGATGGGAGGAGGAGGAGGAGGAGGGGGAGGAGGAGGAGAGGAGGAGGAGAGGAGGAGGAGGAGAAGGAGGAGGAGGAGGAGGAAGGGAGGGCGATGAGGAGGGAGGAGGAGGAGGAGGGGAGGCGGAGGATGGGGAGGAGGAGGAGGAGGAGAAGGAAAGAAGAGGAGGAGGAGGAGGAGGAATAAGAGGAGGAATAAGAGGAGGAGGAGGAGGAGGAGGAGGAGGAGGAGGAGGAGGAGGAGGAGGAGGGCGAGGGTGAGGAGGAGGAGGAGGAGGACCCCCTCCTGGGCCAACGGCTGGTTGAGGTGGACGTTGAAGTACGTGGCCTTGGCTGACACATGCTCCGCCCTGTCGCCCCTGCTGATTTTGAAGCGCTGCGCGGCGAGCACGCTCAGGGAGCTGACGCCGAGCTGGTGATCGGAGGCCAGCCTCAATCGGAGGACGAGGAGGGCTGGACGGTGATGAGGAGAAGCAACACTGGGGACGACCGTGAGGATGAGGAGGATGAGGAGGATGAGGATACGGAGGATAAGGAGGATGGATAATGAAAACGCTGGGGATGATGATGATGATGATGAGGATGATGATGATGATGATGATGATGATGATGATGATGATGATGATGATGATGATGACGCGAATGATATTGATGATGATGGTGATGGTGGTGAGTATGATGCCGATGGTGGTGATGATGGAGGTGGTGTTGATGATGAAAATGATGATGAATATGTGGATGGTAATGCTGGTGTTGATGATGATGACGGTGGTGATGACAAAAGCGAGTATGGCGATGATGTTGACAATACTGATGGGGATGATGATGATGATGATGATGATGATGATGATGATGATGATGATGTTGTTCATGATGATGCTGCTGGTGTTGATGATGGTGAGGATGGTCAAGATGAGCATGGCGGGCATGATGATCATGATCATGATGAACATGGCAATCATACTGGTGACGCCAGTGTTGATGGTGAAAATGCCAATGCTGATGTTGATGGTGGTGTTGATGGTGATGATGCTGATCATGGTGATGGTGGTGCTGTTGATGATGGTGATAACGCCGCCGGTAAGACTTACCATGGTGATCATGCTGGTCATGATCATGATGATAATGACGGTTGTGATGGTGATGATGAGGATGGTGATGATGGTGTTGATGCTGATGATGGTGGCGATGATAATGACGGTGGTGGAAGTGATGCTGATGGTGGTGATGACTTCGGTGGTGCTGGTAGTGATGGTAATGCTGGTAATCAGGATGATGGCGATGATGATATTTATGCTGATTATGATGCTGGTGCTGAGTATGCTGCTGATGCTGTTGGTGATGATGATGGTGGTGGTGATGATGATGATGACGGAGATTGTGCTGGTGATTGTGATGGTGATGTTGATGGTGATCGTGACGATGATGCTGATGCTGATGCTGCTGATGATGATGGTGATGACGATTATGATGATGCTGACAACGATGATGATAATGATGGTGGTAGTCGTGGTGGTGATGGTGATGGTGACGCGCAGTGGCACGTATAAGCGGCGGCAGCGGGATGGAAATAACCCATCTTTCAGTCAGTGCGTGCTCGAATCTGCAACAATGACGAATCTTGAGCCAAAACATCAGTTACGGCAAATATGAACTCAACGCGCGCGGGGCCCCGGATCGTCAGCGCGACGCGGGCTTGAGGAGGCAAAATTCAAACGCATTACGTCGCCCGTTCGAGGCGCCCCCAAAAGATACAGGTAACAACTTACTCTCGAGATGGCTTAAGCTGCAAGGCTCTGGCTTTCAAGTCACACATTTACTGTGCGACGGCAGGAGGAAGGTATAGAACCATCCAGAATTTTAGCGATATAGTAGCGGCGGCACAGGCGATAGCAATAACAAGCAGCAAGCTGGCCTTAGTTCAAGGAGCTCTGCATCGTGCACATGAGCCTGGCGACGAACTCGCCTGCAATGGCGAGGTCGATCCACTCGTAACCGTGTTCTTCGTGCTCCATCGCTTGGAATCATGTCGCAACGCCCAAATGCCTTGGATGAACGCCTTCACGACATCAAGCCTTGCAATACTGCCCTTGGCCAGACCGTCACACGGTATAACTCTCGTATCGATCCACGACAACTCCGCGATGTTCTTTTGGCCTAACCACTCGCGTACTTTCATCATTGGATAGGCCAAGTGGCTCTCAGTAGGTAACTGAACCTCCGTCGCCGTGCAAGCCTTGAAGAAACTCTCGCTGTCCTTGAACCCGATGATTTTCGTGCTGGAACCTCCCCGATCTGCGCGTCCGCCAGCGTCGCGCAAGAACTGGGTTCCATATCCATCTCCTGAATAAGCCGGGCAAACACAGTGCACATAGAGGCCGCGTCGCCGACAGCTCTGGCCCCTGCGCTGAACGTGTCCCGTTTCACTCTGGGCTGCTTCTTGCTGGTCGTCGCGAGCGAGTGGAACTTGCCGCCAATCTTGCTGTCAGCGTGCTGACAAATTCCCATGATGTCTGCTCTAAGTGCGAGGCAATCTGGCTCATCCGCTGAATCCACGATGCAGCGCAGCGCTAAAACGCCCTCTCGAACGATGTGTCGCGAATGCCTGGGTGAAGCTGCTGAATTAACCTGATGCTCAAGTTCAGCACTTGCGCGTGCTTGTGCTTGTACCTGCTTAGCATTCCTCTGGCAAAATCCAACGCGTACTTGAATCTCTGGTCTCAATTGCGTCACCCACGGTAGAGCTCAAAGAGGGCTCCGCGACAATGTGTGTAGCTCCACGCTGAGATCATCATCTGGTCGATGTGGGGAATGAACTGGTAACGGTATAAGTCGAAGTTCCTTGATGTAGTTCCGCTGGTGAGTGTACGCTGCCTTCTTATGTCATGACTGCTCGTGCTCTCCGCCGAGGTAGGTGAATGCATGGAGATGCTTGCTGCATGTACCGAATGCCATCTCAAATGCTGACCTAAAATTCCCACGCGCCTCGTTTGCCGATGACCCTTTTCAAGTCGCCCAGACGGCCGCAAACCAGTGAAACGCACTTGCCCTGTTTGTCGCGCGCCATGCGAAACTTATTGTGGGTCTTGCCGGCGCTGCGCTTGGTAGCGGCTATCACTTGTGCCAACTTCAGCGCGAATAATCTCGGCGCGTCCGCCAGGCCCCAAATTGGTCGTACAACGCATAGGCAACGCTAGTCGCGATCATAGCCTTCCCAACCTTTGAACGTCCTCAGAACCGATGGCATCCTGAAACCCACAATGAGCTGCACTTGCCGGATAAGGGCGCTGGTAGTCATCTGATGAATCTCGTGAAAAGTCAGGCCCTGCAAGAAGGCTCCAGAGATATACATCGCCCGAAGACCGCAGTGAATGTGACAAGCATGGCTGTGCACGACTCGAGTACTGCACCTGGCTGCCGTTCCACTGAATGTCTCCGCCTGTGATTGCCGATCTTCGAAACCTCTGTCCATCTGCCTTTGACGTCGCGCTGCCCCTTGTCATCATTGACTGTGATCTTCCACCTGAAGACCCAGATGACGTCTGCGCGGTTCTTCGCGCCCCTCTTCAGCACGATGCCGACGCTCTCCCACTCAAGCCACTGCTGCAACTCACGCCCCATGGAGTTGATGACATGATTGTGATGCTGACGCTGATCCCCTGCCGTAAGGTTGTGTAGGTCTCGCTTGCTGACTCGACTACTCGGCTTCGCCTTGGACTGGAAATTAACAGGGCCATAGCCTTCAGGTACTGGTTGTGTGGTGCGAACCTCTAAGTTGGCGGTGCGCCAAAGTAGAGCACACTCTGCTACTGGTTCTTCTCTGTTGAAACTGATCTCCGTGTCGTCTACATGGTGGACCAAATCGCCTACTGTCTGTTGTGCAGGAGGCCCGAAATACACGAAATCCACCAGGTTGAAGTTGTCCTGCTTGTTGAGCGCCATCAGCATGGGTTCTGGCCGCCGTCTTGTGACGTAGGTCTTGAACTCCTCCATCGCAGAAGGTAGCGTGATCGGATTGCCGTTCTTATCGCAATAGAGCTCCTCGGTATCTGTGCTGGCGTCGGTGTCTGAGTTGTCCTGGTCCGCTGCAGGTGTCGTTGGTGCTGCCGTTGATGCCGCTGCTGTTGTGCTCGGTGCTGATGGCTGGTATGGTGGTGGATCTAGGTTAGGTCCTTCGTCTTGCTCTTCTGTCAGATCTGTGCGCTGATGTTTGGCCGTTGGTGCTGTGCCGCTGGACGGCCCCTGGTTGTTCTCATGCGGTAAAGTGCGCCACTTGTGTGCGCGGTCGTCGTCGCCGTCGTCTCCTTCGTGCTTGCGCACGCGCGGCCGTGGCGGTGCATCGTCTTCTTCTTCAGGTGGTGGAACTGCTGGTGGTGCTTCTGGAACCCGCTGCTGCCGAGGCGGCGCCGGCAGTGCCGGATGCGCATTCACGTCCATTCGCGCTTCCACCTGGTCACCGCCATCGTCATCAACGTTGCGAGGTCTGAAGAATCGCTGCGCACAGGCAATAGTCCACCAGTGCTCCTCGGGTCGCTCATCTTCGCAGAAGATGCGTCTCCAATCAACGTAAGTGCTGCCGAACTGAGCTGGATCGCATCGAAGAGTGCTTGCACCACCAGATAAGAACTGAACTCGGCGTCGCAGATAAGTTCTGAAGATGATGCATACCGCAACTAATCTGCACTTCAAGACAATGTCGCATACCCACCAGCAATGCGAAGTGCACAGTGCACTCCACATATTAGATCACATTGGGAGACAGAACAACCGTACTACGAGTAAGCTCCAATTGTCCTGCCGATGTAACGCACCATCCGAACATGAGATTTGCTCGAACAAGACGGAATCTGCACTTGATCGGTAGCCGCGCTGATGCCCGTATTACTGCTGCTCTGGCTGCTCGCGAAATTCAGGAACCCCAAGAACCTGGCTCGCCTGACGTCGCCACTGCGAACTGACATGGGTCGGCCCAGCCACTTGCGGTGTATAAAACCGTTGCTTAGGTCATAAAAATCTGACACTCTGCATGGTCCAACCCAATTTGATATACCCTTCTTCTCTGTCTTCCTCATGGTGTCCACGTACTCGCCCAAGTTCAACTCCTGTCTCGATGTTCTGGTATGAGATGTCAGTGAACATTGAATCCTTGCTTGCGCCGTGGACGCAATCATGGATATCTCGGCTAATTCTCGCACTCGATGTGCATGTCTAGTCTGTCGAATCAATCCAGGCAAACCAACGTCGTCTTGCAGAGGTGCTGGACTCACTTGATCTAGATCTTGAAGTTGTGCTGGTTGCCGTCCATAGAGTGCCTGATATGGTGTGAAGCCGCCAACGTTGAGAAGCTGATTGTGCAACACCATAGCCTCTGCCATGATGTGCTCGTCGGGCATGGCCATGTCGAGCTCCTCCGCCTGCGACTGATGCACCTGATGGTGTTACTGATGATGCCATGCTGTCTCTCGTCAGGGGCTGCCTTAGATCCGACTGGCTTGGCACGTCGCTGAATTTGACGTTGATCACAATGGAGTCGTGCTTCGTCGGGTTCCAATGCTCCTTCTTGATCTGCGATGAAGTCCCGTGGTGTACCTATGAAAAACGGACTTGCCGGGGGCGCCGGGCCCCCCGGCAAAGCCAGCCGGGCTGCTGGCGACGATTTTGCGCCAGCGCCGCGATATTAACTGTTATTGCTCGCCAAAAACTGGTATTTGACCTGGTTTTCACACTTGCAATTCTGACGCGGGGCAAATTTTCATTGAGCTTTCCGTAAGAATTCAAAGTCGGAGCGCTGGCCCAAAACGATAACTCATCGGAACAACGCGCGCGAAGCCATCAGAATCCACGGGGGCAAAGCCGCGGCGGGCGAGGCACAAGCGAAGGCGCAGCCACAGAGGGCCACTGGATGATGCACTCCGCCACGGGGGGGGCAGCAGCGACGGCCGACCCGGGCGCCCAAGGCCAGCGGGGCGGGAGGCCATTGGAGACCATGGGGGGACGCATGGGAAGCCATTGCAACCATAGGGCGCCCGGCGACGACGGCCGAAACCCGCGCCCAGGCGGTTGCTCTCGCGCGCCCCCAAGCGCTAGAGCGCGGGCGCCCTCAGGCGCGCAGGCGCGCTCGGAGGCACTGCCAGGGGCGCGCTCGCAGGAGCGCCGCGGCGCTCGCGAGCGCGGAGGCACCGACTGGCATCGCCAGGCGGCCGCGAGCGATCGCGCGCGCCTGGCGGGGAGACCGCAGGCGCTGCCCGCCGCCCACAGGCGGGCGCAACAGCCTGCAGGAACGCGCGGGCGGCCATCGCCGCCCGCGGCCCTCGCGGCCCCCGCGCGCGCGCGTGGCCCGAGAGCGGCGCGCGACTGATCCCCGCAAAGATCCGCAAGAATCCGCCGGGAAACCTGGTTAAAAACACAGCAGAATCCACGAGAATCCGCGAGAATCCTCGAGAATCCGCCACGAACCTTTGCTGGGGACCCATCCAATTCCATGAAAATCTACCCGAATCCGCGAGAATCAGCGGGCGAGTTCTTGAGCCTCCGGGGAAACCTCCGGGGACCTCGAGGACGTCCAAAAAGACGCCGGGGAGACCTCTGGGGGGAGGGCTCCGGGGGCCTCTGGACGGCGTCGCTGCTGTCGCCGTCGCCGTCGCCGTCGCCGTCGCCGTCGTCGGCGGCCTCCAGAGAGGCCTCGGGCTTCCCCGGGAAACCCCATGGACCTCCATGGGCCCCCGATGCCTTTCGAATAGCAGGAATACCGAGGGGGGCCTCGGGAGGCCTCTGGACGTCGTCGTCGCCGTCGCCGTCGCCGACTTCACCGTCGTCGTCGTCGTCGTCGTCGACGTCGTCGTCACCTTCGCCCCTAGCGCCGAGCAGTTGAGCCCTCCCGCGCGGGCGCAATCGCGGGGGGAACGCGCGGACCCCCGTCCGAGAGGGCGCCCTCGGCGACGCGGGGCGCGCCCGGACGCGCGCCTGTTGTCTGGCTGGGTGCGCGGACGCGCGCGCGAGCGCGCGCTCGCCCCGTGAGCGCGCAACTACAGACAAAGATACTGATGGTGGCGATGATGGTGATGATGGCGATGATGACGATAACGCCCGAATGGTCACATGGTCTGGATTTTCTTTCCATGCGCGGGACCACGCGCGCGCAAGGCACGCGCGCTCGCGTCCGAGGCGCGCCGTCACGACTGAAACGACCCAGGAAGCAAAACAGTCAAGCTTCGATGTCCGATTGTAGGGCCTCGCGCCGAAGGCGCGCCCGCGGGCCTGCGTTTCCGAAACCTACATTTTGAAGGCCCGCCCCCCCTTGCATCTCCGACCTCCATGGGCGCACCGTGGATGGCCACCCAGTTAAGGAGGGAAACCTTCAGGACGTCCGGGGGCTCTTTGCTCGTGCTGATGCCGCCTCCTGGAAACCAATCATTCATCAATCAAGTGAGTCGCAATGAGATCGCCGACGAAGAGGATATCAACCTGCACGGACGCATTGAAGGTAAGTGATAACCTCAATGTATGCATATTCCTCGGAGAAGGTCTGCACCGTTGTCTTCGAGACGATGTCGTGCGCCAGGTTGCAGGCATCCATCGAGATACCCGCGTTCTGCAATATTCTGATCATATCGTGAGCATGTGCATGCCGCCATCGTGTGTAGAACTCGTAGAGCGCATCGTGCTAGGTTCATGTCTGCTGACTTCAGCTGATGCAATGCTCTACCCAGATCGTATGGTGACCATGCCCGCATGTTCGTTGTAGAGGGTAATCCATCTCCTTCCGTCTGAGTACCTCCAGCTTGTGCTTGTGGTTGCGCTGAACCGCTAGTTCCACCACGCCGTCTCGGTACGTCTGCTCGTTGTAGCCGTCCTCGATCTGCTGCTGCTGTCGCACTGCCAGCAAGTGGTGGGGGTGGTGCTGGAAGAGGTAGCTCAAGTCCCGCATCAGGATCCACTCGATTACCTGCTGTTGGTTCATCGTGTAGTCGCTCTCGTGGATCTCGCGGTAGGTTCGTCGTGCGTCGCCTGCCTGCGATAGCAATGCTGGCGTCTGACCACTTGCAAGCAAGCCTGTAGGTGTGTCCTTCATGATCTCGCGGCTTGTAGGTATGGAAAGAAGGGCAAGCCCGTTCTCGTGGTGTCACCATTGATCGCAGACAAGAGCTCGGGTCTCGTGTGCGCCTGGGGTCGCGCGTGTCCCGGTTAGATCTGCATGCCGAACACTTGGCCCACTCTGGTGCTGCTGGTCGTGATCGCGGCGTCGGTCCTGCTGCATGTTCTGGTGGTTCAGCTGCTTCAACTGGCGCTGCCGCCAGGTGGCGGCGCTGGTAGTAGTGATGCGGCTGCCGATGCTGACGATGCCGCTGGCGCAGCAGCTGCTGCGCCTGCTCCTGCTGCTTGTCGTCGCGGTTGCTTCGGCCTCGCTGCAGCTGCTGCCCCGGGCGCCTGCCCCCCCTCGCTGTAGTCGTCTGCCAGGGAGAAGTTCTGACGCTGACGGAGATGTCGTAGAGGGTCGCGAATGCCCGCGGCAATGAGCTTAGCCAGCTCCCACGTCCATGGCCTGGAATCGTGAGAGCGTCCACCTGAGATAACTACGTGCTCATGCCGTCGATCACACTTAATATTCAATGGTGGCCTAACCAACAGGAAATGAAATGCCCAGAACTCCGCAGGCTTGAACAGACGTTGGTAGCGATGTCGGTTCTCGCGCAAGTCTGTCACGCATTGATGAACAACGCGCCAGTGTACTGAACTGTGATTGCGCGCATAGTCCCAATCTGGCATATGGTGCATCCTCGAAGTCTGTGAATGCTCTGACAACGAATGCCAGTGCCGTCTGAATTGATATTTCAGCAATTGCGCCCGCAAGCTTAGCCGGTAGTGCTGAAGTCTGTCGGCGCGCCTTCCCCTTCTCTGGTTTCGTGCACTTGTTTAGCGTCTGCCAGCCCGCGCGCCCAGCGCTAAGAACGCTTAAAATAACCGCCATGACCTTGTTGGATCTCCGGCACTGCCATAGCGCTGCTTCCTGTGCCGGGCCCAGCAGGTCGATGCCGATGATAGCGTCGAAGTTGAGGCCGACCTTGACCTCGTGGAGTCGATGAAGCAGTATCTGAGACGTTCTGGCATTTCTTCCACAGACTTCGACGATCTCGATGTAGTGATTCCTGGCGTCGGTGCTGTGGTGCGCTGATAGTGACCAGACGGCCATGAACTCGCCACGTCGTCGTACCTGCATTTCCTGGGCAGGCGCTCGCAGGTATTCTCGGTCGCGGCCGAGCCGCTCAGAGCGCGCATCGAAAAAAAAAAAGAAAGAAAAAAAAAGTGAACACGAGGTCCGTTCTGGCTCGTCCTCTATGATCTGGTTGGCGTCGTCGTTGACCTGGTCCAGAGTCCACGCGTACTGCATGAGACTGGAGTCGTCAAACCCGCAGCCGTCAACGTGCTGCTCGACCTTGAACTTCCGCTTCGTACGTTTTGTCGCGCGTGCTGGATCGATGGCCCGTGCTTCCAAACGTCGTTCTCGCCCCCTGGCTTGCGCTGCTGCATCGGTCGGATATGCCGCGGGCACTTCTGCCACAACGTCGGATCCCACATGATTGCCACTGCTCTTGCCCGTCGCTGTTAGCGCGGCGTGCGCCGGCGTCGATGTAGAGTGTGCTGCCGATGATGCGGTAGCAACTTGCTCTCGTGATGGCTTGTGCTCTGCTTTGAGCAGTCGGTCCAAGAGGCACGCCGCTGCCTCGGGGGCCTCGGCGTTGCCGTTCATGCCCAGAGCTGCCAAATCGAAACTCGACTCCAAACGCGCGGTGGCAGCATGGGCTTCGGGGGCGAATCGCCCCCCTGCGAAAATCATCAAATCATCCTTGCGTGGTCGCGCGTTGTTTTTCCTTTGCCCCCTTTTACTTTTCCCGTTTGTTTTTCAGGCCCTTCAATTTTTAGCGTTCGCGAACCTCGCTGTGCGAATCTCTCTGGATGGCCGCGTGGTGAGAAACTCGGTTCTGCGAACCTCGCTGACTCGGGCGCGTGACCGCGCGGGGCGGGGGCGCGACTTCCGCCCTTCCCTCGCTGCTGGCGCCCGGGGGGCGGGGGGGCAGAAAAAAACAGTTTGTAGTAGTGGTGGTAGTAGTAGTAGTAGTAGTAGTAGTAGTAGTGTAGTAGTAGTAGTAGTAGTAGTAGTAGTAGTAGTAGTAGTAGTAGTAGTAGTAGTAGTAGTAGTAGTAATAATAGTAGCAGTAGTCGTAGTAGTAGAAGTAGTAGTAGTAGTAGTAGTAGTAGTAGTAGTAGTAGTAGTAGTAGTAGTAGCAGTAGTAGTAGTAGTAGTAGTAGTAGTAGTAGTAGAAGTAGTAGTAGTAGTAATAGTAGTAGTAGTACTAGTAATAGTAGTAGTAGTGGTAGTAGTAGTAGTAATAGTAGTAGTAGTAGTAGTAGTAGTAGTAGTAGTAGTAGTAGTAGTTGTAGAAGTAGTAGTAGTAGTAGTAGTAGTAGTAGTAGTAGTAGTAGTAGTTTTAGTAGTAGTCGTAGTCGTAGTAGTAGCAGCACCACTCCGGCCTTGCAGTAGAGGTCATTCGCGAGCGTTTGCTCTGGTAGTCGCACTGTAGAAATGCAGTAGAAGTAGTCCACGACTGTAGTACTCGAGCAGAGTAGTAGCACCCTCGAACTGTAGAGGTTTAGTGGTAGTCTGCAAGAAGACTGCTGCAGTATTGGGTGGCTGTGCCGTACTACTGCAGTAGTGGTACTGTAGAAGCGGCACTCTAATACATTATCCGTACGAATAGTATTGCCTGCAATGGGTATACTACTGTAGTAGGACTATTCAGATGCCGTCGTCTATCAGCACTACTGTAGAACTCTAGTACTGTAGTGCTGTAGTGGTGGCATTGAAACTGTCGTAGTACAGTACTCTAGCAGTAGTACTGCCGTAGTGGTACTCTAGTACTGAACCAGTGGCACTCCGATACCGTGCTAGCCAGTAGCATTTTTGCACGAACGAAGTGGCAACACTGTAACAGCCCTGTAGTTGTGATCGGAACAGTACTCAGGTCTCGCAGTAAAGATCAGACTCTAGTACTTGTTTTAGTGGTCGCACAGGAGTATTGTCGTATAAGCAGCCCCCTACTGTAGTCTCCTCGAACTGTAGGGTTTCAGTGGTAACGATGTGGGGGGAGTGCTGTACTATTGTGGAGCCGTGCTTTACCATTGTAATGCTGGCGCTGTATATGTCGTGTTCTAGTAATGCCTTCGTAGAGCAGCACTCTACTACTCCCTGCAGTGACTGTGCTGCAGTACTGTCGTAGGAATATTCGAATGCAGTGGTATATCAGCACTGTTGCAGTATTATAATCCTGTACTGCCGTAGTGGTGACGCCGAACTAGTCCTAGCACAGTACTCTCGCAGTAGTACTGCAGTTGTGGTACTCTAGTGCTGGACCAGTGGTACTCCGTCACCGTGCTAAGCCAGTAGTATAATTGCATTAACGAAGTGGCAGCGCTGCAGTAACCCTGAGGCTGTACTGGTAGTACCCAGGTCTCGCAGTAAATATCATACTCTAGTACTTGCTTTAGTACTCGCACTGTTGTTGTGCAATAGTATTTCACTACTGTAGTACTCCAGTACAGTACTATTACCCTTCAACTGTAATGTTTTAGCGGTGGTGTTGTAGGAAGAGTGCTGTACTATTGTGGAGCCTTGCTGCACTATTGCAGTAATGGCGCTGTAGAAACAGTGCTCTTGTACAGTATCCGTAATCGTACAAGTCTACGACTGCTTGCAGTGCGTGTGCTACAAAACTGTAGCAGGAATACTCTAGCACTGTCGTAGTGCTCCGGTACTCTTGTGGTGTTCTGGTGTTGCAACAGTATCGCAGCACTGTTGTAGTGCTCTAGTCCTGAAATGATGTAGTGGCGGTATTGCAAATTCCGTAGCGCAGTACTATAGCAGCAGTACTGCATTCGTGGCACTCTCGTAGTGTATAGTAGTCTACTACTGGCAAGTATGATAATGGAACTCCACCGTTGAAGTATTCAATGGATTTCACTGCAGTCGTAACAATGGTCTGGCACAGTAGTAGTGATAACACTGTAGTGGCGGCTGTACGAATAATACCATACTGCACTGCGGCAGCACTCTAGTACGGCCGTACTGTAGTAGCACTAGCAGCCGTAATAGCCATAGCAGTAATAGCAGTAGTAGTAGTTGTAGTAGTAGTAGTAGTAGTAGTAGTAGTACTACTACTAGTAGTAGTAGTAGTAGTAGTAGTCGTAGTAGTAGTAGTAGTAGTCGTCGTCGTCGTCGTCGTCGTCGTCGTCGTCGTCGTCGTCGTCGTCGTCGTAGTAGTAGTAGTAGTAGTAGTAGTAGTAGTAGTAGTGGTAGTAGTAGCAGTAGTAGTAGTAGTAGTAGTAGTAGTAGTAGTAGTAGCAGTAGTAGTAGTAGTAGTAGTAGTAGTAGTAGTAGTAGTAGTAGTGGTAGTAGTAGTAGAACCAGTAGTGGTAGTAGTAGTAGTAGTAGTAGTAGCAGTAGTAGTAGTAGTAGTAAGTAGTAGTAGTAGTAGTAGTAGTAGTAGGTAGTAGTAGTAGTAGTAGTAGTAGTAGTCAGTACTGATAGTATGTAGTAGTAAGTAGTAGTAGTAGTAGGTAGTAGTAGTAGTAGTAGTAGTAGTAGTAGTAGTCAGTAGTAGTATAGTAGTAGTAGTAGTAGTAGTAGTAGTATAGTAGTTAGTAGTAGTAGTAGTAGTGGTAGTAAGTAGTAAGTAAAAGTAGTGTAGTAGTAGTAGTAGTAGTAGTAGTAGTAGTAGTAGTAGTATTAGTAGCAGTAGTAGTGTAGGGTAGTAGTAGTAGTAGTAGTAGTAGTAGTAGTAGTATAGTAGTAGTAGTAGTAGTAGTAGTAGTAGTAGTGGTAAAAGTATTAGTAAAAGTAGTACTGATAGTGTCGTAGGAGCAGTCGTACTCCAATACGGTAGTAGTAGTAGTAGTAGTAGTAGTAGTAGTAGTAGTAGTAGTAGTAGTAATAGCAGTAGTAGTAGTAGTAGTAGT